TGAGATTCTGCCAGGAGGGACTTGCTTCATAAGCCTTCTGTGCACACCTCAACCCTGGCATTCACTTACTCATTCCATGAATATTTGTTCAACCTTTTCACCTCATGGCACACATAAACTACTGAAATTCTGGGGCACACCAAAAAAATAGGTTATAATTTTGCCGATCTGGCCAAAAAGTAGGTATACTTTTGATTTATACCAGCTGGCTATTGTAGTGTTGGCTGTTGTCATATTTTGACAGTCTATGGGAAAAGAGGTCAGTGCCCCTGACTAAATAGTCAGGTATTGCATGTTTTAAACATTCTTGTGGCCACCGGTTGAAAATCACAGCGCTAGCCCTAACCGGTTTGGCTCAGTGGAGAGAGCGTCGCCTGCGGACTCAAGGGTCCCAGGTTCGATTCCAGTTAAGGGCAGGTTGCGGGCACATCCCCAGTAGGGGGTGTGCAGGAGGCAGCTGATCGATGTTTCTCTCTCATTGATGTTTCTAACTCTCTATCGCTCTCCCTTCCTCTCTGTAAAAAATCAATAATATATATATATAAAGAAAATCACAGCGCTAGACTAACAGCAATGAAAAAAAAGCAAAAGTCCCTACCCTTGTGGAAGTTCTATTCCCCACGAAGGAGGCACAGAATGAATTAATATAACCTGCTAACAACCATCTTAGAAATGTCATTTTGGGATCACAACCATGTAACGAGTCGAAGTACCTTTTTAACAGAGTACTTTGACCATACCATCAATCTAATAGGCCTGGTGTATGAGCCAGGAGGTCAGGGTTGGATTCCCCATGCGGGCACATGCCTGGGTTGCTGCTAGATCCCCAGTGGGGGGTGTGCAAGCAGCAGCCAATCAATGATTCTCTCTCATCATTGATGTTTCCATCTCCCTCTCCCTCTCCCTCTGTCTCTGAAATCAATAGAAATAGATTATTTTTAAATAGATAAAATAGGCACTGTCCCTTCCAGGAGCACATCAGCATCCTCCTCTCCCCTCCCCATCTTCCCCCACAGGCATGCATATCCTAAACTCTAAGGGACCCATGAGACTTGCAACCAGGGGAGCAGTGGGCAGAGTGTTAAAATCAGTTTAATCAGTTTGGGGGAATGAGATATTCTTTTCTAGTAGACTGAAGCTTCTCATTAAATATTAGCTTTAAAAAAAGTTAAGCAAATTTAAGTTTCTTAAATCTCTCTAGAACAGTGGTTCTCAACCTTCCTAATGCCGCGACCCTTTAATACAGTTCCTCATGTTGTGGTGACCCCCAATTTCATTGTTACAAATTGAACATAATTAAAGCATAGTGATTAATCACAAAAACAATATGTAATTATATATGTGTTTTCCGATGGTCTTAGGCAACCCCTGTGAAAGGGTCGTTCGACCCCCAGGTTGAGAACCGCTACTCTAGAATGTGTTGTCCGGAAGACTATGTAGCGCCTCACACTAGTTAAATCAGAATCTCTAAAGGTAAAGCTCAGGCATAGGTCCTTTTTAAGGCTCCCGACGTGGCTCCATTGTTGAAGACAAGGTTGAGAATCACTGCCCTAAGTATGGCTTCTACCCACTGTTGTCATTCTAAAGTCTGGGACCAACAGTGGGTTCTCTTCACTCTCCCTTACTGGAGCACTTTGAAACACTGAGGACAACTATCATACGGCTCATCTTCCCCTTTAGTCTTCTCTCTTCAGTGTGCTCTATCTCTAATTATTTTTTTAAATTTTGTTTTATTGCTTAAAGTACTACAAAGAGTATTACATATGTCTCCCTTTTTTCCCCCCTTGACCTTCCCCCAGCCTTCCCTACCCCCCAGTGTCTTGTGTCCATTGGTTATGCTAATATGCATGCAGACAAGTCCTTTGGTTGATCTCTTACCTCCGCCCCCCAATCTCTAATTCTTTTAGGTGCTCTGCTGGTCTCTGAATTATGGTAAAATAACCCCAAAATTCCACTCACAAGACATATGTACTCCAAGAGACAGGTACAAGAATATCCACAGCAGTCCTAGCTGGTTTGGCTCAGTGGCTAGAGCGTTGGCCTGCAGACTGAAGGGTCCCAGGTTCAATTCCCATCAAGTTCACATGCCTGGGTGGCAGGTTTGATCCCCAGTGTGGGGTGTGCAGGAGGCAGTCAATCAATGATTCTTTCTTATCACTGACATTTCTCTCTCTCCCCCTCTTTCTCTTCCTCTCGGAAATCAATAAAAAATAAAATAAAAAATATCCACAGCAGAATGATTTGTAATATCCCAAAACTGCAAACATCCCCAAAATCTACCAATATGAAATGTAATATATTCATGCAATGGAATACTATACAGGAATGAAAACTATAGCTATACCAAAGATCGATAAATCTCATAAACAACAAGAAGCCAGGCATAAAAAGAATCCATAAGCCCTGGCCAGGTGACTCCTTTGGTTGGAGTATCGTCTTGTGCAATGAAAGGTCACAGGTTTGATCCCAGCTAGGGCACACACCTAGGTTGCAGGTATGATCTGTTTGGGGCACGTGCGGAAGACAACTGTCAATGTTTCTCACTGATGTTTCTCTCCCCCCGCCTCCCTCCCTAAAATCAATAAACATATTCTTGGGTGAGGATAAAAAATACACATGAATCCATTTATATAATGTTCAAATGCAGGCAAAACGAAAACTACATTGTTTGAAGTCAGAATGATAGTTACCTGTGGGAAGAAAGGCAGCAGGAGTGATTATAAGGGACATAAAGCAGGCTCTGAAGTGCTGGCAACGTTCATTTCTTGACTGAGTGGTAGTTTTTCAGATGTTTGCTTTGTTAACTTATTAAGCTTTATATTTGTTTTGGATATTTTCCTGTATGTGTGATATATCTCATATTAAAAATGTTTAAAATGTTATCAGCCCTAGCCAGTTTGGCTCAGTGGATAAGTGTTAGCCTGAGCCCTGGCCGGTTTGGCTCAGTGGATAGAGCGTCGGCCTCTGGACTGAAGGGTCCCGGGATCAATTCCAGTCAAGGGCACATGCCCAGGTTGTGGGCTTGATCCCCAGTAGGGGGTGTGCAGGAGGCAGCAAATCAATGATTCTCTCTCATTATTGATGTTTCTCTCTCCCTCTCCCTTCTCTGAAATTCAATAAAAATATAAAATAAGTATCAATAAGCCCAAGATAAAGGCTATGCAAATTCAATATAATCATAGAAATCTCTCTATGTAAGGGATGGTTGCTGTATTCAATCCTTTCACTCCTCTCTCAACTCTGTAACCAAAATGTCTGAGTTCAATCCCAGCTCTGCCATTTACTAGCTGTGTGCCATTATAATCTGTGCCTGTTTCCTCAACTATACAGTGAGAACAATGGTACTAGGTATTGAGTGATTGTGAGAACTGAAGAAGTTAAGTAATATAAAGTGTCTAGAACACAGCTTGGAATATATCAAACATTCAATAAACAGTAGCTGATGCTACTACTCTTGCTCTCTGGCCTCTGGGTCTCTCTTCAGGTATAAGGAAGAAGCTGGGGTCTTTCCAAGAGCTTCCAGAAAAAGAAAAAGAAATCTTTCGTTCTCATGGAGCAACTAGGCACAGGGAGATGCAAACTTCTGCCATCAGTCAGATGCCCACTCTGGCTCTTACCAAGGTCTCAGGGAAAAGCAGGGGAAGAACAAGTAGACAGGAACAGCATTTCACCACTAAAAAAGGCTTTTATTATAAAACAAATTCTAATAAAATCAGGCCTGGTCTTCAACCCCACCTCTGGGTAGAGGCCCCTAGAATGGGGTAGGCTGGGGGACGGGGTGGGCAGGGAATGATGAACACTGAAAGAACAGAGCAGGCTGACCTCCCCTCATCAGTCCCAGTTGCCGTTCCTTTTATAAAGGGCTGGAAGAGCTCTTCCAAAGCCCTTTGAGAGAGGCACCATCCTCCAGCCAGGGAGGACCACTGCGGGCACTGGACCCTAGTAATGCCGCCTTGCAGGATCCAGGAGGTTCCGGCTGACTCTCAGAGGCCACCCTCACTCACTCAGCTTGGGCGATGATGTAAGAGAGCAGCCACAGAAGCAGGGGGCCCAGCACGAGGACAGCAAGCCAGAGAGCACAGCTGGCCAGGATGAACCTCCGGGCCCGGGCCCCCCAGTGCACTGCTTCCTCGGAGTGGCCTGCCTTATGCCGCTCTTCTGCCTGTGGGGGCAGGTTTTTGGTTAGGTTCTCCCCCTGCTGCTGTCCCAAAGTGCCCACTGACCCATTACAATCCTCCATCCCTGTCATGGCTCAAAACCTCACATTCAAATCCTCTACCTTCCTTTCTAGTTTCTATTTCTCATGCCTCACCTGCAAAATAAGTTATCCATTCTGCTCTGCCTACTTTTCAGAGTGGCCATTGTTAACGCACAAGATCATATATGGTAAAATACTTTTCAATCCTTTTATTCCCTATTCTTTTTTACTTATCCCAGATTCATTCCAAATTTGGAATTCTTGGCAAGAAATAGTGAGCTAGCCCTAACTGGTTTGGCTCAGTGGATAGAGTGTCAGCCTGTGCACTGAAGGGTCCTGGGTTCGATTCCAGTCAAGGGCACATGCCTGGGTTGCGGGCTCGATCCCCAGTCGGGGGTGTGCAGGAGGCAACCAATTGATGATTGTCTCTCATCACTGATGTTTCTATCTTTCCCTCTTCCTTCTTCTCTGAAATCAATAAAAATTTAAAAAATACACAAATACTTTTAAAAAAAAAGTGAGCTATCTTGGAGTATTTTTGTATTTTTCACTCATGTCCAGTCATATAACACCCCGTTCTCATTAGTCAATGGGCCTCATCTTACAACTAGGGTTGAGAAAATTCAAGCCTGGTGTTTAAGTTAGCCTGTGTGACAGATATTTTGAAATGGTGGAACCCTCTCAAAACCCTCATAGCTTCTCCTGGCTCCTGTAGGCTGCTCTCATCACTGCTCAGCTGCCTCCAGTTTTCTAATTCATTCTCCATGTAGGACTTGAGAGTGGATCTTACTGAAACACAAATCTGACCATGTCACCCTCCTCTGCAAACACCTTTGAATGGTTACCCAGTACTTTCATGATAAAGTCAAAACTCCTAAGCATAACACTGGAGGCCCTTGGGAATCTGGGCCCTCTGGCTTCACCTCTCACTATTTCTTACTGGTCCATTTAGGCTGAACTAATAGTCCAGGCCTTCGTACACACTGCTTCCTTTACCTGGAATGCCTTTCACCCTAATTCACTGATTCTTGAAGGTTATTTTCCTGCCACCTACTCTACTCTAATCACACACATAAAGGGTGGAGCAAAAGTAGGTTTACAGTTGTTTGTATGGAAAATAACACAATGAATAATACAAGAATAAACTGTTTTAGGTACTTACAACTGTCAACCTACTTTTGCCCCACCCTATGTATCCTCCCCCAGCTCCCAAAACACTTTGTGCTTCCTCTACGACAGTACTGATGAGCTACATCCCATTAATAATTATCCATTTTCACAGCAATCTCTTTCATTAGACTGTGGGCCCTTTGATGGCAGGAACGATGTCTTCTTCTTACTTCTGGCACAAGGCCCAACACCAAGCTCTGACAGGCACTTACTTAGTAACCGTTTGATGAATGTAGACAGATCAGATATGAAGCCACTGCCTTACTACACCCACCCTCCTGCTCCCATAGGAACTGCATTCCTCACCTTGATGGCAAACACAAGAGCCATGACTCCCAGGCAAGAGCAGCCACAGATAATGCTAGTAGCTGCCCAGCAGCGGAGGCGGAGCCCGCAGCAGCGAATGGGGGATGGAGAATGAGCAGCTTCCATGTTGCTCACCAAGATCTCCACTGGATTCTCCTCGTCCTCCATCACCTGTGGGCGATACAGTCGAGGTACTTTTAAGCCCCAAAACTGAGCCCTTGGCCTGGCTTTCTCAGACTCCACCCCTCTCTAATCATGTCCTTGTAGCCTAACCCAACTCTTAAGAATGCCGCCTTACTAGGGAATTCCTCTAATGACTCATAGACCGAGAGAGGAAATGTGTGGCTGGAATCCTTTCTCAGCCTAAGATTTCAAGTCTTTAAAGACATGCTAGCGTGAACACAGCATTATCTGTATTATTGTTTTGACAAGTGGGGAGAAGCAGAATGACAGGTGCACATCGAGAAGCAGGAAATAGAATCTCAACAGCTGCTAGGAACTGGAGACTATCAAAGTCTGATTTTTAAACTGTATTTCAAAGGGCACTACAATTCCCTGAAGTTCCTCAGAAACTGACATGCTAGGCCGTTCCCTACTTCAAGCAAAACTGCCATTTCATGTGATAATTCTGGAGATGGAAGAAAGTAGGGAAAAAGTACCCATCTAAGCTCTTTATAGTTGAGGAAACGCAACACCAGAAAAGGCCTTAAATCCCCCAGTAGGGTCTCCTTTGCTATGTTGACTCCCTGCCATCTCCTCTCCATTTCAACCCATGCCACACAACACAATCAGATTAACACTGGGTTTGAATGACCTCATAACCCACACAGAAACCTGCATAATGATGCCCTACTTAATAATTTTTCATCTCCCTATTTCTCAGGTCCTCTGAGCTTTGATACCAAACCACCATCTCCAACCATTCCCCTATATCCTAGACAAAATGAAACCATTTGCAGTTCTCTGAACACAACCCAGGATAAAAAGGGTGAAAAGAGTCAAGATAAGCAGAAAGCAAAGAATATGTGCCACGAAGCTGCAGAAGTGGGTTTGAGAAAAGAACTCAGATGGAGTAAACAGATACAGACATGAGGGGAGAACACAAGGAGAGGGGCCAGGGAGTGGAGGTCAGAGAAAATGTAAAATGAACAGGGGCTCTTACCTGGCTATAGGCCTTGAGGTACTGAGAGTTTCGGCTTCTGCCTCAGGTTTGATTTGGCTTGGGTAGAGATGGAGCTGACTCAGGGCTTCAAGCCAAGCCCAGGGGAGGGGTTGGGTGGCCAGTCACCACCTGAAGAGCCCCAGGAGCTCATATGGGGGTGTAGCTGACTCAAACCAGTTTGGCTGGATGGAGGAAAGCAAGGGAGGAAAAATGACGGGAGCAACCCAAGGTAGTGGTGCCTGCCTTCTGGGAAAGGGAAAGCACCTGAGCAAGGAAGATAAATGCAGGAAGTCTAAGGCATCAGAGGGCTCGAGGGAACGTCAGGAACCAAGAGAATAGACGGGAGGAGGAAAAGTGTGAGTCTGAGGGACTGAAAACTAAAAGTTTAGAGAAAGGTGCCCTACCAGATCAGATTTGCCACATCTTCCCTCTTCTTGGGTGGACATTTCTACCTCCAAGATATGTAATTCTGGGTTAGAGATGAGGTACTAGGATCTTGGCAGGAGGAAGGGAAATAAAAAAGATGCCCAAGTTCCCACCCAACCCTCCACCAGACCAGAAAATCAGAAGCCTCCTTACGCGGATGCTCATACAGAAACTAAGTTTATTATTTTTTCTTCTTTAAAAAAAAAAAAAAAAAGAAAAAAAACCTTATTGTAGAGAAGTCCCTCCCCCTTCCCTTAAGGGTGGAGAGCTGTGAAAGACTGCTGGGGAATCAAGTACAAGGGGGTGGGGACAGAGACTATCTTGCCACCCTTAACACTGCCCAGCCATGTGGGGTGGAAGGGAATATGTGAAGCGCCCCATTTCCATGACAACCAGTTTCCTACCCCCTACTTTGGTGGAAAGAAGGGAGAAGGCCCCTCTGACTCCCTGGAGGCTTTCCCCCTCAAGACTTCAAGTAGTGGTTAACAGAGTCAGGCCTGGTTGTGGAGGGACAGGGGCCATGGTGGAAAGCCTAGGTGGAGGGGCAGCCCACTCACGTCTTGGCCTTTCGGCCTCTGTGACTAACAGTGGGGCCGGCTGGGTGGGGCGGGGCACTGCTGCGCAGGATGCGCTGGTCCCCTTGGTTGGTTGTCCCACCAAGGCGGTGGGAGCCAGACCTGCGGCGTGGGGTCCCATCCCCTTCCTCCTCTTCACCTGAGGCTTCAGCCTCAGACTCTTCTACTGAACCCTCAGGCCCCAGGGGACTTGGGGACTGCAGGCAGCTTCGCTTTGCCTGCCCAGGACCTCTGCCAACTGGGACACCGGCCCGTTTGCGAGGCACCTTCTCAGTCTCTAGTGGGGGAACTAGAGAACCTGGACGGAGCCGGGTGGAGCGCAGTTTTGGAGCCGAGACTATGGGAGGTGTCAATTCTAACCCGCCTGGTCCACCATCTGCTAGATCCAGGTCATCCTGAATTACAGCCACCACCATGGACCCTTCACTTTTTCGTCCCCGCATCCCCTCTGCTTCAAGGCGCAAGCGGGCCAGGCGGGTGAGGGGGCGGCTTCCATCCTCATCGGAAGAACTGCCCTCACTCTCCCCCTGGCCCTGGGGTTGCCTCCGCCCCAATCCACAGCTCTCAAGGGCAGAAGATGGGTCACGGTCCAAGACAGGGAGCTGGCTGGGCCGCGGCGATGGTGGATTCTTGGGAGGTCGGCCTCGCTTCCGCTTGGGTGGGGATGTTGAAATGGTGACAGTGTTGGCGACAGTAGCAATGGGACAGGATAGGAGTGGTGGGACTGGTGGCATCGGGAGTGGCTGTGTCCGGCTCTCTAAGCTGCCATCCCCTGGAGAGGAAGTGGTCCCAGGAATGGGTAAATCACGTGCCTTAGGGGGCCGCCCGCGCCTTCTTTTCTCCACAGGTGATAGGATGATGGGCTCGGGTTTATGAGTTGGCTGGGGTCCAAGAGGCTGGGGCCCAGGAATAAGCTGGGGTCCCAAAACAGGCTCTGCAACAATAAGGGGGTCAGCCCCATTGGTTTTTCCCTTAGAGGTGGATGAAGGTGCCTCATCCACCCCTCGTCCAGCATCTGCAGGAGACCTATTCTTCTTGGGAGGCCGCCCCCTCCGACGTTTCATAGCAGGAGAGGTGATGGCAAGCAGTGCCCCTTCTCCATTCTCTGGGCTGACCTCTCCAGTCACCCCCAGCTCAATGTGACGGCGAGCTATGAAGGGCTGCTGGGTTGGGGTGGGCAGTATGGATGGGGGAGCAGCTTCACAGGGCCCACTGGTGGGAGGTGAGGATTCTGGCCCCAACATGTTGTGGGTAGATGGGCTTCCTGGGCTGGCACCAGTCTCAGAGACCCCAGGCACTAGGATGCTGGCAGTTCCCCGCTGCTGTCGCCGTCGCCTCACCAGTTCCTTTTCCTCTACCACAGTCACTAGCCGTCCTGGCAACTTGCGAAGCACTTTGGGGCCTGGAGGCTGCCCCGGCCGACCAGCCCCCTGACCCCTAATTTCTACATCAGCACTGGTGCGACGTCGAGGGGGCCGGGCAGGTGAAGAACCTTCAGGTGAGGAGGTGGCTGAAGATGAGGTTGATGGAGCTGTAACCTCAGCTGAACCAAGTTCCTGCAGCTTCTGTGGGCTGGATGTTGGGGTCTGGGCTTCCACTAGCTCTTCTGAGTTCTTGTCAGCCTCCAATGGCAACTGAAGTAGCTCATCAGATATTGCTGAAGGTGGGAGCGCCAGATCACTGTTCTCACTCGGACACGTGGGCACCTCCTCACCATCAGGCAGCACTGTGAGGATGGTCCCCTCAGCAGGCTCTGGTACCTCCTGCTCTTGACCATTGGGAAAACTGCCAGTCTCCAGGATTGGGCTAGGTGCAGAAGAGGTGAGAGAAACGTTCTTTTCTGACATAGGCAGGATCTCAACAGCAACTGGCAACAGATCCTTAGGGGGCATATGAGTAAGCGGGGAAGTCTCAGAGCTGGTCATATCAGCCAGCTCCAGGGACTCACTAGATGCCAATGTTTGTGTACACAGCTCTGCCTTAGGCCCTAAGCCCAAGGTGAGGTTGGTGACTGGGGGGAAGATGGGCACAGAGGGTAGACCAAGCAAGAGAGGGGAGGTAGGAGTTAAGACAGAGGTTTGAGCTGGGGGTGGGGTATGAGCTGGTGGAGGGGTATAGGCAGAAGGAGGTGTGCAGGCAGAACAAGAGGGAGGAATCTGTGGGGGAGAAGGCAAGATATGGACAGGAAGCATGGTCAATGGATTTGGAGCTGAAATGGGGATTGGGGCAGGGATTGGTATGGGATCTGCAGCAGCCGAAGCTGGAGCGGGTCGAGGTTTAGGCGCTGGCCTGGGAACTCGCTCCCTGGCAGGGCTATAGCGGGGAGGCGTGGAAGTGCTGCGGGTATGATGAGTGGATACGACAGGAGTGTGGTTTGCCCCTTGAGTCTCAGCCCGGGCTCCACGAAGACGCTCACTGACTCGAGTCCCTGGCCTTTCAGGGGCCTTGACCTTCTTACTGCGCCGGTGGCTGCCTCCACCAGTCCCACAGGAAACCTCATCCCCAGCCCCTGGTCCCTCCTCCTCCTCTTGGGGTAGGCGGAACACCTCCTCCTTGGCTTGGTCCAGGTCCTTGCGGGCAGCTTCCACTTGCTCCTACCAACAGACCCCACAGGGTGGTCAGGGAGAGGCACTCAAGGTGGTAATGGGTAGAAAACAGTAGCCTCCCACTTCCAATCCCTCCCCCTAGAACTACTCACTTCTGCCTGCTTGAGCTCCTCTCGGCTCACCTCCTCAAGTGAGGCTTCCAGGAATTTCATAGCATAGCGCTCAATAGGGGTCAGCTGTTGGGAGGAAGAGTGGTGATGAAGAGGGACTAGGTGCCCAGGGCCCACCCATCAGCCATTTTTACCAGGGAAGATAGGAGGGTCACAGAGTCCAGAGGAAGGAGTTGAGAACTAGTGGGTCCAACACTGACCTGTTCGACAAGGGCAGCAATTTCCTGCTCAGCTCGGGACATTTCCTCATCCTCAGCCCCAGGCCGACCAGCCTCCTCTCCCTCACCAGCAGGAAACCCATCATTCTCATTGAATTCTGCAAGCTCAGCAACCTGTTCAGCCTTGGCTTGGGTGGCCGCACGAATATCCTCTTCATCTTCTGCCCGACATAATGCCTGCAAGGGCATGTGAAAGAAAACCCATGAGAATTAACAAACTTTACATCCTGTGATTTGATTCTGGCAAAAATTTGAGGCCAAGTTTACAACAAAATGAGGAAATAAAAAAAGCACTGGGCTCCAAAACCCTGGGTCCCAGTCATGGTTCTGTCCTTGCCTTTTTTCATAGATAAGCCAGTTAAATTTCTAAGGAGCAGTTTTCTCAATTGTAAAATGACATCACACCACTTTGCCTGCTTAACCTGAGGCATTTACTATATTTAAACATACGATATGTTTATAATTTATTAAGTGCTATAAAAGTGATATCATTATTATAAGGACTGGACTAAATTGGTTCTTCACTCTACATGGTAGATTCTGGAATAAATTAAATGTTGTCTTGGTCACAGCCCAGATTTAAAACAGTAAGAACAAAAAAACATTTATACCAAACCAGGTTTATAACATTACTAGAGGCTGGTGCACAAAATCGTGCATGGGTGGGGTCCGGCTGGCCTGCCCCAATGGAAGTCCATTGGAACGGGCTGTGGGTGGATGGCTGGCCAGCCCCGCTCGCGACTGGGGTGGAGGGTGGAGGCCAATCAGGGCCCGGATCAGGCTGGTTGGCTGCAACAGTGCATACATAGCCACCGGTCATTCGGTCATTCTGCCATTCCGGTTGCTGGGCTTTTATATATATAAAATATATATAAATAACAGAACTCAACTCTCATCTGGACCCTCAAAGTTACCAAAGCAATGCAGTTGTACAAAAAAAAACGGCCATCAGGGAAAGGTGATGCCCCAATCACACCTCTGCTGCTGTCACTGCCGGCAGCACGGCCGGCCCTGGTTACCTGAGCCTCGGTGGCCCTGGGCAGCCACCATCCGAGGCTTGCCTGCGCCTTGGGCAGGCTCTGGGCGGCTAGAGAGCTGAGGGCAGGTCCAGCTGCACCGTGTGCCTGCCACACCCCCGGATGGGCTGAAAAGACTAGGGGACTCCAGTGGGGTTGAGGGGACTGGGCGCCGCCATTTTGTGGCTATGGGCGCCACCATATTTGTGAAGGTGTGACAGTTAATTTGCATATTCTGTCTATTAGCTAGGATTAGAGGCCCAGTGCATGAATTCGTGCACGGGTGGGATCCCTCAGCCTGGCCAGGGATTGAGGCCAGTCAGGGGGAGAGGCTGTGGGAAGTTGGATGGCTGGTCCCGCCCCTGATTGGGGCCCATCAAGGCCAGGTTGGGCAAGGA